CTAGTTCTCTTCAGTGACACAAGAGTATATCAAGGATTCTCTTTCTTTGAAATTCATGTCCTTGACAGTTAGATATTGAAATATCACATTTGATCCAATAATCTTTGATAGTAGCTAAAAATAAGGCTTTAGATATACAATAGAACTTGTCTAGTCTAAAAATTATTATGATTTTTTAATTTTTTAAGTTAATTTTTTAAATTATTAGAAGCAAATAAATATTCTTAAAGACCTATTTTTTTGAAATTTATTCCAAATTATTTTTTCTTTAATAGAAAGAGATGAATCTTTAAGAAAAATTTAAGTAGAAATTTTAATATTTCCAATGTCATTTCTATTTTTTTACTTTTCAAATAAATTTGGACCAAAATTAGATTTAAAATTTATAAAAAAGTATAAATATGTATAATATAAAAATTATATCATCTTTTTAGATAAATTTTTATTTTTATTTTTTTATGTAATTATATCTTTTCTTTATAGCTTTGAATAACAAGTGTGTAATTGTTAATATATTTTTATAATTGATAAAGTCATTCTAAAGAAGAATCATGAAAAATTATTTTATCTAATACAATATATTATTATTATATATTTTAACAAAATTTTATTTTCTTTTTTATAATTTTAAAATTATTTTTATTTTGATTGATTTGATTTGTTATAAAATACTTATATGTTTGCAATAATAATTGAATAGAGGTGTTTTACTAGAAGTAAATCTTCTTGTATGTAGATGCCTACACATTTGTTGTAGATCATAAGATTAAATATGTTTTAACTTTTTGTCATGTTACAGATGGCTCAAGCTATGCAAGTGGCCTTAATTCATGTAGAAGATCAATTTATTTATTTATTTATTTATTTATTATTTTTAAAAATCCTAGTGTTTAATTATTACACATTTGCTGATTAAAGATGGATAGTTCATGTGCAACTAGATGTAATGCATCCAAGATTTCTAACAAAAAAATGAAGACATTCTTTATATAGTGTGTATACGATTGATAAGATTTGCAATGGAATTAAAAGATGTGTTTACTAAAAGCCAATTATTTAGAACTTTCTTATTTGACATTGATAAGTGATTTCTAAATTTGGCTACATTCTAATTCAAACGCAATCAAGATTGCAAGGTCACATTGGCACAAACATTTGCCAAAGTTGAAAAGTATAATTGGAAATTTTTCCAATATATTACTACAAGCCAAGAAGGCAAATATTGCTACAAATAATTTGAGAAAGTTACAGTCTAAGAAGGTCTTATATATTCAAAATTCTAAAAACTAAAAGATTTTCAATCTTGAAAATAATTTTTTATTTTTATTTTTATATATCTATCTTTTATTCTACAATAGATATTATTTTTGTATCCTTCATATCCTAAATAAAATAAACAATGTAGATTTAGGATTTGTAGTATAGCTAAGGCTCTGCCTAGAAACAAGAGTGACAAACAAAAAATAATAAATTCTAATTCTTGTAACAACTTTTGATACTTATTCTAAGTTCCACAAAAACAAAGACTTGTTGATGATTCTTTTCTTCTAGTCATCAAAGTTACAAGAATTATATCTACATATTAAAATTGTTCAAAGAAACAAGTGGTGGTTCTCATTTTGTGCATGTACTTGTTTTAGTTTTCATCAAAAAACTTAATGTTGTTTGGAATTTATAGGCCCTTAACAAAACTATGGTTCTTGATTAATAATGTATTACAAGTAGGAATCTACTTACTGCCACATGCAACATTTATTTCTTTTTTGGTCAAAAGAAAACTTACCTATAGAGAATAAAATTCAATCCCTAATGAAGAGGAAGGCAAAATCACAACCTCCTTCTTAGGTTGAAGGTGCAAGTTATGAAGGAGGTGCAGGGGAAGAGGGACAATGAGCATTGGATTTTACAAGATGTATTTCTAATCCAAATCTCTAATTGGGAAGCATGGTCCAATGCACAAGTTGGTGGTCTTGAAAAATGGATTCATATTTGTTTTAATTCTCACTTTGTATCCAATATCTTTGTAGTTGGATGATTGCAGGGACTTAAGCATAGCTATGGGCTGTAATGTGTAGAGAGATGAATTGTTGAAGAGAATTGGATTTGCCTAGGAATCAAAACATATCTTTTGCTAAAGGAATGAAAGCATTGCCACACATTGTATATGAAACATTGTTTTTTTTGTCATTATTGACAAATGCATTAGAGAATGATGAAAAAAAAACTTCAAAGTTGAGTTTTGGCATCTTTTTCTAACTCATGGATGGACAATAGTTTTGACAAAGCTAAAGGATATGGCATGGTTTTTACTGAAATTTTTCACTCACAGCTTAACATTGGGACTATTTGTTCAAATTTGTTGCCATTCATCTAAAATTTTATTTAAGTTTGGAATAAAAACCATGTTTTAATTACATATTTATGAAACTTTTACATGTGAAGTGAACTCAACATATTGTAGATATTTAGCCATTAATTTGATAAAAATTCAATAGGTCAATCAGAGTTGGAGAGGCTTTGGAGTGGATTATAAGCAAAATATTGTGATCCTCGAGCTCATGATGCACACCTACCTAAAAAGATATTACTGACTTAATAGCATATTGCCATAATTCACTCTTACACTTAAACACGGATTTTGTACTTTGGTCATCTCTTAAATGCCAATGTCACCAAACATTTTGAAAATGAGAAGCCTCCAATGTTATTGCATTTTGAAAGTACACATTTTGAAGTATACATATATGTGGTGGAGTGCACCACAACTTTAAATGAGATGATTTGTAGTATAGTATTTTTGCCATCATGAATCCTAAATCATTTGTGTAGGCAAATAGTGCCTTAATTCCATTTAATAGCAATTTAAATGTAAGGAACTTTGTAAGTCTATTTGTGAAGAGTATGAGGAAAATTAGAGAGGTGATGTTGGTAGAATAAAATAATGTCTAAAAAGAAGACATGTTGTTGGAAATTGGAAGTGGAGAATGAAAGTGTGCACTCAAAAATCAAAGTATCTTGCATGTGAATTCATCAATCATAATGACAATAGAAGACCTCAAAGATTGATGAAGAGACCATGAAATTGTGAGTAATCAGTTTGTGATGTTACTGCTAATACTAGAAGAATCTATTCCTAGATAGATAGACAACTTTGGTGTAGATTATATGTTGAAGGTAATTGTTTTATTTTTGTTTTCTTTCTAAGGGAGAGAGAGAGAGAGAAAGAGATCTAAGCAGGTTGCATCTCTAACAATTGAATTCAAAGATCAATTACTTGCTAATATTACCTAATTAGTCTTACACAACTTGATAAGAACTAAGCCTGAATCAACAACAATAAAGGACTAGAAACCATTCTCATTGGTTACATGATCACTTGTCAAATTTTGATCATATTGAGAACAAAGAATCATAGAGGCTAAAATTTATTGGATATGTGCATTTGAGTAGGATCAAAGAAAAGTATTTGTAACAAAATGATTTTAGAAAATACCTACTTATTCTGCATATGATTTTTGTAATTCATGTTTAATACAAAATTACGTGTTTGTAGTTTGTAATCCACAATTAAGTTCCTATCATAGTTATGCTCAGTGCATTCTTCTTGGATACAAAATCCCAATTCCATTCACCAACTGTATTGGTATGGTAATTTTATTTTAAATTTATTATGCAATTATTGATTGAGTATGATAGATGAGTTGGAATTTTTCTCAAATAAGTACAATTGTTTTATCATGTAAATACCAAAAAGTGCAAAACACATGGAAAAACTAGCCTATTGTATTAAAACTAGCATAAAAATATTGCCAACAGCATAGATTTAACAAAATTAATTACTTTTTTTGCATATTATCCATGACAATGGCACAGATTTACCAATCCTACTTTGTAGCTGAAAGCTACACTGTGTATTTTATTTCTTTCTATTTGTATTATATTTGTATTTGAAAAAGATTCTTTGGCTCACAAACGTATCTTTCAAAAATAGGTTCATTTGAATCACACTTTTTGTGACAACAACATGGGTTCATCTAATATATATATATATATATATATAGATACACACATTTGTATATAACCGTGCAAGAGTCAACAATCAGGAAATGTGCCTGTACATCGAGACCTCCAAGAAGATGGATATTCAAACAGTGGTCTTCACTCCCAACTTTCTTCAACTAGTGACAGCACTTGCTAGTTCACTCCATACGGCAAGTAGTTGTGAAGGTGACCTTTTCAGCAACATGCAATGCCCTCGTGTTGACATTGAGTTTGTCATAGTCCAACATTTAGCACACCATCATAATTGTAAGCAATTTTTTAGGGTTATAAAACTGTTTAGAATCGCCGCAACGGGAGATTATAATCTAGATCTATCACGCGGAATCTGAGTGTTTTGCACAATCTAGAGCTCATTCCTTTTGCCGAGCTTCGCCAATGGAAGAACCCTACAGCACAACTAGTACGGATGCACCCTCCTTCGTAAGCTGAACCAGAGCTGCCCAAAAAACCATCACAGTATCATCGAAATGAAATTCATTGTTAGTAGAAGAGGAAGTCAGCCATCAACCCGACAGCCAGGTCAAGGCGGATGATTAGAGTCTTCAGATCCACTCTCACTCTTTTCTGATTGCGAAGGGGTCTCAAAGTCGATGATCATCATGCTTTTGACTACCCTAGGTGATTGGTTCTGCGAAGTCCTCTTCTGACACGCCGCGCACCTGTTGATACATATGATAACAGTGCAAAAAGCGCATGCTCTACTTGCAACGAAAATTTGTATTATGTGCATTGTGATTTCTGTCCCTAGTGGCAAGTTCTGTACCTGTAGCCGCACAACACCGCTGAGATTCCACTTGCGCAATCCGGATTGCGCAGAATTGTTCCAAAGGCTCAATCAATTCTAAAGATTCCTTCCTCGGATTCCCCAGGAAAGAGAGAATTCCGCAAATAATAACAGTTGACTGCCATTAGTCTACAAGATTTCTGGAATGCTTTTCCCTACCTCGTCAATCGGTATTGAGCACTCCACTTATTCAACACGCTGAGCACACTTCAGAGCATGAAGCATATAGCTCCTCCGCTTCATCAGTTGTACTCATCAAAATATGCTTGCACGCTGATTGCTGAATAGAAGTCAATCAATAGAGTGTCTCGATTCCGTGCAGTGCATTGTTTGCTACAGCAAGAGCGATTGAAAACAGAGCACGCTCTCAGGATTGTTAGGACGGTACCTGTCATTCTACTCTACCTTTCTTAATCTACAGAGATGGGGTTCTGTATGAGTTGAATTTGAAAGATAGCAAGATGGATTTAGAAAGATAGAAATCTTGCTGCACTCAAGCGACGCGGTTCTTGTTCGAAAACTACGCAATGGCGACATCATTTGTGAGGAGCGGTTCTTTACTGCTGCCTGTCCTGTGCCTAAGCCTATTTCTGCCGATTACTGCGGCATCTTCAGATTTGTCACTGTCGGTACCACTCGACCACTCCCAGCAGCACTTCACCGTTACGGCAACATCTACAAAAACCGAAGAGGAACCAGTCAGCTTGCTCATGAGCCGCCTCATCAGAACATACTTCGGAGATCGAGAGGTAACCCATAATTGAAGATTACTTTGGGTCAATTTTTGTGTAATTATACTGTCGATTCGTTGCGGTCTTAAACGTGGGAGGTGACTTTAATTCAGTATTATGTCGAAATCTATTGGCAGCGGTGGAGGCCTTTCTTGCCGCACGAAGTTACGGACACTCACCCTAGAGTTGTGCGCAAGCACCACTCTCGACCAAAGCTGCAAATAAGCACACAAACGATTCCTAGCTGCGAGATGGAATGCAAAGCTAGACACGAAGCTCACGTAGGGCGTACTTTCTACCTCCGGGGCAATCCCTTTTTAGTCTCGAGTGTCCCTGCCTTCGACATCACCCGCCCTACCCCTAAGGAACTCCTCCTTTTCCTCCAAATCTAGAGGCACAGTCAACTGATCCTTACGCCAAAACCAGTGTAGACAGGATTCTTCATGCTGCAACAAATCTCCTGCAACATGTCCCTGTTGAACTGGCTTTGCAGTCCGTCGAAGGTTAAATTTCTACGTACCATTTTATATTTCTACATTCCAGTATTGGATGTTTAGCTTGTTCATTGTAAATTTTAATATGGGTCGACAAAGCAAAAAACAAAGATTAGCGAGATTTCCACACCCTGCGTGTTAGGGCGTAAAAAGGTGTTCCCTTGATACTAAAATTTGTACAGTAGTGAGGGGTGTTCCCAACTTTACAGAACAGCGGTTAGAACCGCTATATGTACTCAGGCCCTCGACTCTACAACCTTAATTTGCATGAATACATCACAAGCCAGTGGGGTTATGACTGAGAAGAGACAAATCCGGGACTTCGATCTTAGAAAATTTCTTCAAATGAAATTGCAAATGGAGGAAATCACATCCACCTCACCACTTACAACAGAGCCGAAATGAAAAGCTCTCATGAATTGGGTTTTGAAAAAAAACCAAATAATTGATAGGTCAATACCCCAAAAATTTCCCGTCAATTACCAAATCCTAAATGTTAAAATGGACTTGTACACTCGTTTTGGAAGAACAGACGAAAAGAGTTGTTTATTGGATTCCCAACCTTTAAGATACGTCGAAGCTGGAGCATACAATGTGTGTGTGGGTTCAAGTTGCTTCTACATTGCAGGTTAACTTTGTACTTGTGCCACTGAGGTGATGGCCTCCCAACAAGTATGACTCCCATAAAAATCGATGAACCAGTGGACGAAATAATAAGGTGCAGAAAAGTTTCTGTAGCTTAGACGGATCGCTCACTCCTCACTCCAGGAGCACGCAGATTGTCCCGGTGAGCTGAGAGTAAACATTAGAAGTGGCAGTACTATGCTGATGGGACCGGAGACCCCGGATTGCAAATCATGAAGTGGCCATTATCAAATACTCAAAAAAAAACTAAAAGAGTTTACGTGACATACCAAAGTGTTCTTTTGGAATACAATGAAGTACAAAAGCCTATGACCTAGAGACAAGACGATTTGCCAATTCGTTCAATTCAATGCACTTGACGACAACATTCGAAATCTCTAGCAGACATTTGATAAGTCCGTATTAGCAAAAGAACATCTTTTAAGTAACTTGAACTTGAGTAAAACCTTGGAGCAACAAAAATCTTGAATAAAACTCATATGGGAAGAAGGCAACATGTAATACAGCAGAGTTTGTGACCTTAACTTCAAATATCATTACAAAATGACGAAGTTTACGCATTGATATCATAAATATTTTGATAGAACTATCTACAATTTTGCAGTTCTGCTGACTAAATCTCACTTCTGGACATCCAAATTCAAAAGTTTCGAAAAAGAGAATTCTGTCCAGACTCTCGTTTGGTCTTCTGGATGCTGCAGTTGTTCCTGTTTGGGGCAAAGCAGAACTCGCAAGCCAAAGCCAAGTGATCGCTTCCCCATTTCTGTCGACGATATAACCCACAAAACTGTAAGATATTATGTCTACTTCTTAAAACAGTGACATTCTAAAAGACAAATGCATGCAACAATGCAAATTTTGGTAGAGGCTATCCTAGCTTACATACTCCACACGCTGTCAATACAATATTGCCATTATGAGGGACTTGTACAAATTGAACCACAGCACAAATCTACCTACACAATTTTTTTAATTTTCAAATCTGGCTTAAATACAGCAAAAATTGGATCGGAGACGAATTATTTGTGTACTCACTGGTTGCACATTCTGTACATGTTTTTGTATTAAACAAAAAAAATGCTTCTGCAAATAACAAGCCTCAACAATCTACATTTTGTCCCATAACATCTACATATAAGCAAAAACAATCAAATTCAGTCTAAGTGAGGAATAGCTGAAGCCAGAGAATGAAACCTTGGAAGGAAGTCCTTTACAATGTTGTAGTACAGAAGTGGGAAGAGTATCCAGGACTCTCACTGTCACTAGATCATCCGTATGCCTGCATCATTCACCAGCTACACTTAAAAATGTGACTGGGCGTATTATGGTGCTACACCTGTACAGGTACTCAAAAACAGCACGAAGCCAAAAAATACCACATAAAAGGACGATATTGATTACCAAATGTAATCAACAGTGCCCCTAAATTTCTTGTGAAAAGTTGTAACAAACGGCTCCCCTCTTTCATCCCTGCTGCCAGGCTTTCCCTGTGTGGAAGACAGATTAACCACTAAAACGCAGTGAAGCCAAAATTTCTCTGTCCCTGACAGCAGCAAGATAATAGCACTCCTATTTCAAATGAAGAGCTCGCCTTAGAAGGTCATCGCTGTTGAGGACATCACTGTCAGAGACAAAGAAATTGAAAGTATACCTCTATCTCTGAGTATGCACTTCGTAAGTCCAATTTGTGCTGAACTACAGAAAGGTCGCTTGCGCCAGTAGCTGCCATCAACTCAGATTGATCCCAGCCTCGCACCCTTTTGGCATGAGGTAAACTGTAAGTATTCACCACTTTAACTTGTTACTTGATGTTTTCAGCATGGAAAACACATCAAATGGTATCAACTTAGAACAAAGTGGGGACCTTGAGCAGAGAAAAGCCACACAACCGGTAAAATCCTCAAAGCAACGTCAGGAGTACGGTATACCACACACCTTTTTGCTATAGAAACTCGCGTCGAAGTTACTTTACTGAACTTTTGGCCGGTAATTTCAGTGGTTAAATTTGTTTCTCGTGTGATGATTGTGGATTCCTTGGAGTCATTTGTCTTTATGGACACTATGCTGCTCTCAGTACCCAAAACTAAATCTTCTTCACCCGATATCTCGACACCTTGTGATGACTCACAAGCCGAGCCGAACCTGACATGACGCATCATTCTCATCCATCAGCCATCTTGATCCGAATGCATAACTAGATAGTTATACAACACTAATTCCATAAAGCTACCGTAGCCACAGTGTGCGCAGCAGCAACCAACAGAGCAACTCATGTTTGATTCCACAACAATGAAAATCTATTCGAACCCACCTCTCATATTTGGACACTTCACGAGAGTACGCATTGGTCTTAAAACGCTCCTTAGCTCCCTCCTCTTGTCCTGAAATATTACGCCGATCATGACCAGCCAGGTCGAGCTACACAAGGACTACTGTCAGGATAGGTTTCTGTAATGTAACCAAAACGGCTTTATTCATTGATAACACTATTCAAACAGGACTCTATGACGAAAACCGTCAACAGATCCTGGGGATATAATGCAAAAATCCAAGTGAAGTAAATGGCAATTTACTTTAACGGGATCACATCAACACAACCCTGGGGTTTACTTCACAAGCTTTATAATGAAATTTGCAGCATGAACTTCCCTTTGTTTGAGAGTGTACGAGTGAAAAGAACAAAAAATGTTATGTTCACACCTGTGAACATGACATGAATCGATACAGAGCGCTCTGTCCACCGTCACAGCACAAAACCATCTTTGTCAAGCTTGTATAGCTACTATAGGAAAACAAATTTAACCTCGTAAAATCCCGCATGATAACAAAGCGTAGAATGTTCCAATTCTAGCAAGGCTTATGGACACCAGCAAAATTTTCTTCAAAACTGCATTTGGTCCCCACATAGTAATTTGCAAGAGCCTTCTACTGCCTTCATCTGTTATTTAGAGTGAACATCCCTTACTACCAAAGACTGCAACTTGACAAGAATCATCTTGTTGAACTTGACAAAATGGTAGAATACCAAAATTAAGCTTCCAAAGCCATCATCTGAAATTCATACAGATGTAGACAGGATACATACCCATGGTGTACTGTTGAAATCACCAGCTATAGCCACAGGCGCATTTCCCCACTTTTCAGAGATAGCGTGAGCTTTTTCTAAAAGCACTCGAGCCTGGTAAACACAAGTCTATATTAGCAAATGCCGTGAAAAAAGTACATACAAGCAGGTGAGACCATCAACATCGCTCCATTTACAGTTTCCTCAAGTATACAACATTACTACTGTATTCTATTTGAAAGCCATCTGAGTTGTACTGCAACGAATAGAAATGGACATTATCCAATTTCATGTTAATAGTCTTAAGAGATTTTAAGCATCTACCTGACCTAGCTTGACATCACCGCGCTTGGGATTAAACAACAGGTGAGTATTTCCCACAACTACGCAGTTGTTCTTAGGATCACGTGAGCTGGCCAATCAACCAAAGATCCGTCAGACTTAGAAGCATCCGGGGCAAGTACAAGAGTATGCTTCCCAATTGTACCCTGGACGTGAATGATGCCTTTCATAGCAAAACTATGCAGACGGTCAACACCCAGCTTACTTCTATGCATAATTGGTTTTCAACATTTACCTATCCGGACTACATGCAAGCTAGGACTTGACTAGCGGAGGTAAATCAAACAAGTATTCATCTAAAACTAAAAAGTAGTAACATGCAACACATATAAATATATTTTTTAGCTAACTGGAAACAGCTTAATGCTGTCTACTAATCGATTGTTGAAATCTAAGCTACATACTTCTTCACAAAAATTAACACGCACAAGTGAATCTATAAATTGCAGACTTGAGAGAGAAACGAAAATTTGAGGACCCATCAAAATACTCACAATTACGGACACTGTGTTGTGGATACAGATTTCGATGAGCAATCCGTAACAAAAAAATGACCTCTAAAGAATCTAAGTTTATTATACCCAATAGTTGGTTTTGCATCGTCTAAGCCTTCTGAGCCATCCGTGTCACGCCACTCGGAAGTCTTGCTTTTGGTCTTTCAACAGCATCATAATTATAAAATCAGGTATACTTATTCTGAGATGCTATTAAACAAGAATCGCCAAAATAAGAAATGCAGCAATTTGAGAACCAGATGAGGAGGACAGAGAAAACATTATCAGAAAGAGGAAAAACGCACGCACTCAAATGTTATTCATAATCTAGAATGAGGAGTACCCATAGAACACAAAGCTGGGCGACATTGTCTCGGAGATTGAATTCATTGAACTTAATACACTCTTCCTCCAGTAGCTCGAACCTGAGTCCATAAAACAGCTGAACCCGTAAGCTATCATGGCATTGCGAGCGAGGACATGACCCTAACACGAAATAATTAAACTGACAACGAATAAAAAAAACAAGAGAACATGCTCCCACGACAAGACATCCAGTCAGAAGATAAGTAACAAGAGCGGTTAGCTTCGGCACAGAACATGCTTACACTCATCTCATTAGCAGTCTATTTGTATGAATAAGGCAATCGAGTTTCCTTTTCTGAAAAGTACAAGTGACCCTAAAGTGAACAGAGATGAACCAGCATCCATCTCAAGAAAGGGTCACATACACATATGTATGCGTGGAATTGACCAAAATAAACGCAAGTTTCAGAGCTTTAGAAGTTACCTATTTTTCCTCCAGAACATGGCACAACCATCAGTTGATGCTCCAGTTCGACTCTGCAGCAAGACATTGTAAATGTTCCAGCAAACTACATAGGCTTGGCCAAATCCTAAGACTACAATAGAAAGAACGGACTTTTAAGCTCCATTAGATAATAATATTCATGTACTAGTTCCTCAGTTCAAAACAAACAGGGACGAAGTTCAATATACCGAAAGAATCTAATCGGAAACCACGTACTGTATAGACCCCGACATAACCCTTGCTCTCAAGTTCTTCATTGAGGTCTTCGTAATGGTCCACTTCCTGTTGACACGCCAATACAAATCACAACCTCACAGACGACCTTTAGTAGGCTGGATGAGACATCTAAGTTATACATGTAATTCCACAACTGGACACGATCTGCAACAGTTTATACCTCCATAAAAATCCGATGTGTCTCTTTAAAAATTTAGCTGCTCAACAATAATCAACTCCGCTAAACCACATTCTAATCGCAGTATCATACTTCAGATATACTTCAGCTTTCCTGTTGAAATCACTTTACAAACACTTTCTTCAAAAAGAATCTTCTCCACATGCAGTTGCGCCTATGTATAAAGTCAAATAAGCGCTTACTTGTAAGCACATGATATCTGGAGACCAAAGTGCAAGCTCCCGCAGAAGCTTCTTCTTGCGTGCATCCCAGTCCATAATGAAAGGTGGTATATGCCAGTATAATTCGTCCCAATGTGCCCGTGCATTCACATCAGCCAATATATTGTAGGACACGATAATGAATCTCTCTGGGGAAACAAGTAGAATGGCACAATTATTTTCACGTAAATTTAACGAATCAAGCTAGCAGGATGTGCTTCCATGTGCAAACCTTCACCAGAGAGTACAAGGGATCCTATCCAGGAATTTCTACCCAAAAAAACTACACCTACTCCATAACAAAAATAAAGTAAAAGGTAGCTTTGTATGAACCAATGTTGGATTGTGAAGAAAGCAGACACCACTAGATTTATAAAATAAATTATAAATAGAACGCACCGTGGTCTTTAGGTGGATTACTACGAGCATTAAGCCAATATCGGTAGTCATCGCGGCTCGATCGAGGCTTTACTGACCTCTCCTCATCATATGATTCAGATCTTCTGCAGTATTTCGAAAGTGCCTCTCAGCTATACATCATCATGAGAACTAACAATTTCTTTGACGTTACTCGCAAGATTCAAAACACTCAAAATCTTCATAACCTTAAATGTAAGAAGCAATATACTCAAAGTATCAAAAAAAAACCTTTGCACATGACATGAAAGTTGATAACACAAATTACAGCTTTACATGGAGAAGCATCGGAAGAGTAACAGCGAATATGCCCTAAGTCAACAAGAAATACTGACCCTCTTCCCCGGAATCTGTTTGAACTTCCACTTGAAGAGCCTGCAAAACAGGACTTGGAAGAGCCATCGTTATCCCTCGCAGCCATTGTCCGCTGCGTGGACAACCTCGCAAGAAGACCCCTCACGGCCTCGTGATCCTGCGTCGTCGCAACCTTTCTTGCAATCGCGCCACAATTCAGCGCAAGGCGAATTGTAGATGTATGCTTTGAGTACCTCCAGGCGAAAGGGATGTTGATGCAGCACCACACTGCAAGAAACAATTCAAACGAACAATCGACATTTCGATCAGATTCCGATTACTATCAGTATCACAATTTGATTTCCACTGTATACAACTCAAAAGTAGTGATTTTATATATTTTGCATCGTAAATTACTAGTAGCTGATCCCTCCCCTACTCTTAAAAAGTAGTGCAATTACCACTCACGTAATAAAGCAAGGAAGAAAAAAAATCAATCACTTCGCATAAACTCTACATGTCACCGCCAACAGTCGCACACTTACAATATGAATGCAATTTCCTCCCTCTCCCAACCGCCCTCTCTCCAACACCGAATATCCATCTCAAAGCAACACGACCTCCACATTGCAAGCGTATCCACGTCACCCAACGTAATGACCAAATCCAACCCTCGAAAGGACTCCAATACATCATCTCCCACACTCGCTCTGCATACAATCCTGTAAACCCTAAAATCACAGACTCCCCTTATTCCGAAACCTTCACTAAAACTCAAAGACTTCACCGATCCTAGCTCCAATTCGCAAACCCACCTCGGAGAATCAAACCATCACCGCGAAATTCAAGTCCTAACAACTCAAACATAAACACAACATTGTTCACGCGTCACCTAAGGCCAAATTCGAGCCCATATCATGGAATTCAATCGGGCAATTCCTTGTCAAATCCTGAAGTGAACAGGAAAAGTGAGCAAATATGAACACTCACCGAAACCAGCTGCCTCTGTGAACAAAAAAGCGGATGGATCCTTTCACTAACAATTGCCTCCAGAGAGCATCGTCGCATCGTCAAATGCAGCGATGCATGAATGCATAGCGTGGTAAATTTGGAGGTTCGATGGAGGCAGCGCAATGAAGAAGACGAATGAAGAAGAAAGGGAATTAGGCAGACGCGTGCAGATGAGTCGCGGCCATCTGTTGACATGGCTGTTGGTCTCTCGCTTCCTTTAAAGTAATGCTTGTTTACTTTTTATGGCTTTTACTTTTCGCCTCCAAATCCCTAATTGTTCGCCACACTTGGCAAGAGGGTGGAATTCCCACTTTCTTATGTTGGTTTTGAACTTGATAAACTAAAGGTTTGCTCATAAATTTAGTTGTGATTTTTTGAGATTTGTAATGTGTAATTTAATTTTAATTTTAATTTTTAATTTTTTAATTATAATTTTGAAGAATACATCAAATAATTTTATCCATGCAATTTTGATTTCAACTTATGCAGCTGATAAATGAAATGATTATTATGAATCTTTAATTTTAGGAGTATACAATTTTAACATATTGTAAATATAAATGTTTTCTTATATAGTATTGTAAAATTGCATGAAATAGATTATTTGGTTTGTTTGGAATAATATAAAAATGCAACTTTGGCTACACTTAACTATTTTGATGATTTTGCTCGAAAAAAAAAATCAACAAAAATATTTTAAACTTTGAAAAATTGATATTATGTATTTACATAATTTATTATTTATTTTAGTTCTTTATTAGTAGAAATTTTAGACAAAGCAGAGAATTTTAATTTTTGTTTTAACATTTTGATTCCAATAATAAAAGATGTGAATAAAAATTTCAAGCAAGTAGATAGGATGAAAGTTGATATGGATTATGAATCACTTTAGTCTTTCAATACTATTGAATAAATACTTTAAATTCTTATCTACAAAAATATTTCTTAGATGACTAACTAATAATATGCCTCTTTTTTTTTTTGCACATTTTTTTCTTTCCTTGCTATAAAAAAGAGTGATGCTTGAGAGGGAGACAAAGAATATTTTATGAAAAATAGGTTGCAAGCTGTGTTTTTTTAAAAAAAAACATTTTCCCCAATAATTGTTGAATTCAAAATTATGTCTTTTAATTTTAATTACCTACCAAAAACAGAGAAAAACTAATTTTTTAATTTATTTTATTTTTTGGTCTATATAATGATTAAATATTGGGTTGCTACATGTGCCCTAAGCATAGAAGTGCATTTTTTAGTCAATACAAGTCATGTTGAGGTCATGTGGGGTGTGGCAATATCAATTGGAGATGTAGCATTAACAATCCTATAAACTATTAAGAATAGTTTATTTATGTAATATATTAAAAAGAAATTGTTGCAAACAAGAACATGATTTTTAAACCTAACATCTTTTTATTATATATATATTGTCAATTATAAATAAATGTGTCCAAAAATTAGATTAAAAATTTTAAAAAATAAAATAAAGATAAAAAAAACTTTCCATGAGAATGGTTTTTAAACAATATTTAGTAGTTTTTTAAAAAATCTACTAATAATATTTGGTATTAAAATAAACCATATTTTTCATATTAATAAAATAAATGTTTTTGTTAAGATAATTATTTATATAATAGTTTTTAAAAATATATTTTAAAAAAGGCTTATACTTCTAATTTCTTCTAATATGATTGCAAATAGTCTATTTAATTGTACAATTTTTTTTAGATTTATACATGTGAAATTAATAAAATGTAGTATTACTTGAAATTTAGTAAAATTTAAATAAATTTTTTTATATTAACAAAATTTAATAAAAATATTAATATTTTTTTTGTAGAAATGAACACTATGTACTTCTTAAAAAACAATATATTCCAAAAGAATAAAATAGATATTTGAATGATATCCAAAATTTATAGAATCTTAGTAATAAAATATAAAAAATAAAACATATGTACTATTATTTTTATCTACAGAATTTTAAAGAATGTCTCAATGAAAAGATTAAGTAAAAATTCTTAAATCACTAAAATAGATGATAACTATAGACTTTAAGGTCTTAAGAAATTCCATGACTTCTTTTTATCTAATTGAAACAGAACAAAAAAAGAATTTATTGGCATTTGTAAATTACATATTTTTTTGTAGGTGTAGTTTATATAAATTATTCCTTTACTATTAAAATAAACTAGAAAAGAGTTCTCAAAACAAGTTGAATGGTTTTCAAGACCTCAAAAAGTTTAACATTAACTCAAAAAGATTGCAATATATTTTGCTAACTGTAAAAGTTTGATATTATTCTTACCATTACAATTTGCAAACTACACATTCAAATAAATTTTTTAGAGATAAACAAAAATTCCCAGCACAAAAACATTAGCACCGAATCTACTTCTTATTTATTTACATCTACAATACATTGAGTGGATATTGCTCACAAGTAGACTCAAACTAACTTTAATTCTCTTGATCCAAAAACTATTAAAATAATCCAATTACGGAAAGATAGAAGGGAAATAGCAAGAATTGGAGCACAAAGTAATGGTACTTACATGTAAAAAATATCAATAATAGTAAGACATCTCTTACTCCAAAATGAAAAACATCATAAGCACAAGCACACTGTAACATCTCTTTCGACAAATGGCTCCACGCCACTTTCCTATCTGCTGCCTAGTTGAAGGACACCGTCTAACTGCAACCTCATCCTTTGCAATGCATTTCCTACAATGTAGTAAATAATACAACACAATCGCAGGATGCCAGATTTGCAATAAGAAATCCTATTGATAGCCACATATCGACAGACAAGAAGAGCAAAAACACGAAAGCATTACTAATAGCTCAGTGTTACTAGAACAATCGAATTAGGATTGTCCTTGTTCTTTGTTAGTCCATCTGTCTCTGTTTGTCTGTCTGTCTGCCTGCCTGCCTGACTTTGTATGTGGAACCCAATACTTTGTCAACAATACACTGGATGAACCATTACTTAGTCATCCCAGGTGCTATTCCACCCATCCTTATTTTCTCGTCGTGAGTTAAGTCCAGCTGCAGATACAGTGAGAGATGTAGAAGAAGCCCGGACAGCTTCTGTGTCCTGCCAATCATCGTCTTCCCATACTTCATCCCACCCATTAGTTGAAAGAGGCGCCTCAACATCGCCCTTGGCCACTGATTTTGGTAATGCTATTTCTAGTTCTTGGTATTTGGTGTTTGCATCACCGTGACGCCGAGAACGGGCTCGCCATGAAACACAGCCCCAAACGCCCGCTATGCCTGCAGTGAATACAAAGGTGAGAACTTGGTAACAGATAGCACACCAGGGGCGGCAACAAAATTGAAGATGTTTTTGTTGTCTCACAAAAGAGCCACGTGAATTTGAACAAATACAACAAAGAGCTCACTCGTCTATGACAACAAAGATAAGAAAATCTTGGCATCATAGAGGCTATTTGTATTCTAACAAACAGATTTTTGAAACATGGCTAAATGTCCTGAAACCCAAAGTTAATATTCATTTACAATACTGTTAATCCGACCTCGGTTACAACAACCAAGTAAATGCAGGAACTCCTTAAGGCGCTCTGCTTTAACTTAGAATCTCGAGAGATTTTCAATTGACCAACGTGAAGATCCCATGGCCTCTATTATAGAGAGACAAACTTACACAAAGACTAACACAATATTCGAATGCACATTGATGGTTTCCTAAGAGCCGAGATAGGAGGTCAAAACCAAAATAACCATACATAGTAGCAGAATGAACCCCACGCTGCCTCCGAGAACCAAAGGAAAAACCTCCGAAGCAGTCACGTAATCCATGTATGAGGAATGATCCACATTATCCACAATCTTCTGAGAGGGAACAACGACGTAACAATCTCCTTTACCCCAGCTTATGTTGATCTGTGCTCCACGTCCTATAATTTCGTTATCAGTCATTGAGATGGTGACCTGCAAACACCAAATGGGATTTAATTTCATTCTTTCTTCAACCAATAAAAGGAACTTCACTGCTCTTGACATTTAATATAAACCTGATGTAAACTTCATATGGTTCATCTGACTTACTTACAAGCATAGCCTTCTCTTTCTCTAGCACCAACTCTTTTGGCTTTGCTTCCCAGCCATCTGGAGTCTTGATGGTTACATTTAATTTCGAGTTTTCAGAATTTGAAATAGTTAGGGGGTAGTTATAGATACCTACAAAGGAACAAAACCGAAAAATTTGATGAGATCCCTACCCCTAAAAAAAAACCGGAAAAAAAAAAAAAAAAAAAAAAAAAAAAAAAAAAAAAAATTGTAACTGAAACATCTGAGTCCAACGGCAGGTTTTATTCTCACCATCTTCATCATCCCTGTCAGCAGCCATCAATTTGCCTATTACATGCCCATGATCGCAAATTCCGCCATGCAGTGACTGATTCTCACCACCCGTGCTTGAATTCTGAGTGGGTAGCGTGGGTGTAACCGTACCATTTACTGGAAAGGCGGGTTGAGAAGTATTTCTTTTTGATTGAATGGGTGGCGGACTAACTGGAGCAACGGTAGCACTTGTACTATTAGTGTTGGTGTTGTTTGAAACCGTTGGGGTCGGCACTGCCTTCAGCTCGCGATTCCTGACATTCTCCGTCATTAGTTTGGCCTGCAAAATGCAAGAAGAAGGGTCAATCCACATGTATGCTAGTAGTTATGCTTCAGACCTACACCACTTTTAGGCCAATTTTAGGCATTAAAGAGAGAGTAACAGTGAAGATTGCAATCGCACCACTAACTAAAACCAGTATAAGTTTTGTTACCAATGCAGCAGAATTCAATACCTAATTCTATCAGTGCTTAGTTTTAGATTGGCTTTGATCAGCAGTAAAAAGGAACTACAGGACACGAGTTTGACGAAACGTTGTACTCTACTCACAAGTTCAAAATTAGAGCTTAGACATGCAAACTTCTATTTCACTTCGTAAGAAGATTATAGACACAGAAAGTGAGGAATTAACAACAACTCTGAGTTTGCACACGGAATTGAACGAGAAACAAACTTGGGTAAACCTAATACAAACTGAAAAGAAAGAGCAAAATGAGGCGGCGGAGAGATTTAGACGAAGTGAAAGAAAGAGAAATAAAAAAAAATATCAAAATAGCAGTCAAATGTACCTCGTCATGGTCGAAAAATTCCTCAAGCCTCTGAACAATTGCTCCTCCAGAAGTTCCCCGACTCTGAACAACTTGCTGATCTATAACTTTGAGAGGCTCATCTTGGGCTCCACCAGAAACACCTAGTAATTTTGGGCTACCGCGAATCCTTTCGAGAAAAATCAGCTCTCCAGTAACCACCTCCCCCAACACAACAAGAGTAAAGGTACATAACATGAAAATCAGCGGAAGCCCTGTTCTGCAGGAGGGACCTGAGATGGGTACCATTTTGCTTCAACAAGACACGAAAGGCTGGCCGACCTTGCAACCACACTACCGTGTTCTTCAAAATCTCTCACACGCCTTCATGGTGTGAGAAAACCAGGAGAGGGAAAAGGCAGAGGGGTAGTGGATCGTGGTGGCTGCAACACAAATTGTACGAAACCTGCGGATGCTTTCTGTTGCTGCTGATTTTACCCTCATAGCATACTTAAATCTGCTTCTTGATCAAATCAGTGGCAACCTTGACCAGCCAGCAACCTAGAGCAGACCAACCAATACAAATCCAATGCAACCTAGTTTAACGCGAGCTCGGAGGGTTTTCCACAATTAAGCACTCAAAGAAGGAAAAAATGCAAAGAGGCGGCCAAATCCCTTGGCTCAGAAGAAGGGACCATTTTCAGCCGAAAGTGGAGGATATTGTGGAACACGAGTCACGATCAAAGGCTGTTCTGGGAAAGGGTCTCTTGCCAATTGGAAAGTTCTTCCTCTCTCCCCGAAGTGGGTGGACAGCTTTACCCTCAAGCCCCCCTCTTGAACACACCATCGTGGAACTGTAGAGAGTTCTCACATCCCGCAAATGTTACGGTAACAGTTCAAAGCTATTTGGCTGTGAAAGAAATTGAGGAGAAATTTTCAGATTTTATATTCTGGGCTTTACAATCTCATGCGTTATTCTTGCGTTATTTTCTTTGAGGCATTAGGGGTCTTAGATTATCGGTCCAATGTGAGGGTTGCAAGCAATCTGCTTACGATGCCATCGTGCACATTAATATCTTGTGCGGTTGCATAAATTTAGCATGGGCAAAATGTAAATGCACGACAACATTTTCCTTTCCACGATCAATAGTGTTGGATTGTGTGGCATTGTAGTTCTCACGCAGAGGCCCTATTTGTAGTTGACAGAATGGCAAGTCGTTAGAAATACTGTTACCTTTGATTGCACTGTATGATTAGCCTCTCATCTTACTAATGGTAGCTGATTCAATCAGAATTGCAAAGAAGTCTTCCGTTCTGCAGTTGCTTTGGCCGATTTTTCACGATAACCAGCGACTAACAGGTCAGTGAGTTTCTAGAGCTTTTGTTCCTAACAATGAGAGGCAAAAGCTTGTAGACACAATAGGTTTTTCGACGTCGTCCAGACCGAGTTGTAGCTCTCATACTAATAGATTAATCATAATATGCTTTTAGAAAGAGTTTTGTGCCACATCCAGCTCCGATGATTTATATGGCTGAGTAGCAAGTATCAGCAAAATGACATATTGACTAGTATGGTTTCATCATCTTAAACCTGGTTTAGTAGTTTTCCCCCTTTTTTAACGCTTTTGCCATATGGTGCTGATTTTAAAGCTCCTCTCGTTTTATCTTATGTTTCATCTTCTTGTTGTTGTCCGAACAGATGAAACGGGCTTGTCAAAGAGAATACAAGCTATGAAGTTTCTTATGGCTATTAAACTCGAAACTTTTAGTCATAAACCTGTCTTGGTGTTCCTCAAAGTATCTTAGTTGGGTATGAGAAGGTATTTTTCTTAAGCTTACATGTGTGTGATGACATGGCTTTCCATACCTTCCACTTAAATGTTGATGTGATTCTTAGATATGTTCATTGGAGCCATTGAAAGACATTCAGTAAAGAAGGCTTGGTCCAAGCTCAGCATACTCTTGAAACGACTGACAACTGTTTTGTGTTCCCTTGACATTCAGATATTGTAGCTTGGTAATTTATATTGTGACAAAGTTGCTTGCTTGTTTACTTTGAGCTGGTTCATGAAACTGACATGTTCCCAATTGTGCTTGATGTTCTTAGTGTTGTAACTGTTCTTTTTAGATTAATGATGACAGAAGTAAAAGACAAATAAGAATAAGAATTGGACTATAAATACTTGGGTTACTTTGTATGATTTTTCAGGAAATATTAATGCAGAATATTTCGACAAAGTTGTTTGACAAGGACCAGTAGACAATGACTTATAGATAGGGACCAACAGACCTTTGTTGAAATGCAAAAGAAGGTTGTTAAGTTCAGCAATCCAAACCTTTTTTTTATCTGCATTGTCCTAGTCTTGACAATCACTGGAGGCTTGGGCCTCAAACTGATGTGGCACAATGCGTTGCAATGGTTGATTGCTTGAGCTGTTTGAATTATTTGTTCACAACATGTTGGATCCTTGGATGGTGTGGGGTTACCAAGTTTGACTGACCTTGTGGTGTGATGTACCAGTCAGGAGCCAGATACGCTCTTGATTTTTTCCTTTACACCACTTTCAGTAACATTCATTTCAGTCGATACATGTGCAATTTATAAATGACCAGTCAGATTATGCATTTGAATTTTAAGACTAATCCTGTTCACTTAGTAAACATTTGAGTAAATAATCTTTCTTAAAACTGACATTATTATTTGTAAGCCTATCAACATTTATTCATTGAGCGTGTGACGAGGCCTAATCAGCTTGCCTACTAACAAAATTCGACAAGCACTGCTGGGGTGTTTTGAATCATCAACACTGATGATATACGTTACAATGTCGATAAAATCTGCAACACCTGAGGAAATAATTTGCGCATGCACATGGTCCTTCCGTTTGGAAACTTGAGCTGGACAGATGAAAGCGGAGTTACAAATTTCAAAAACATGTCTACTTTTGGATTTCATCCAGAAGTCGCGGAAAGAAATAAAAATTACTAAAGAAAAATATGGTCTGACAATATCTCTCCTAGCTTGACACAATTCATGAATGCTCCAAATAATTCGTGCACTAGCTTCACAAAGCATTGCTGTCATTCACACTATTATGCAAAGATATTTTTTCTGCCTTTCAAGTGGAAAAATGTCTGGTTATCTACATCAACGTTGAGGCTGTGTCGCACAGAATTGCATGAAGATATCACGGCACCAAACTGACATCCTTGAAACACTCGTGCTCCAGTGCAATGTAAGCGGATATTGTCGACTTAACTCCATTATCAGCATTTTCTGTACATCAAAATAGAACCAAAGATCAACTATATCAATTTTGAATGTGTTGTTATAAGCACACTGATTGCAACGGCACAAGTACTTGTTGGCATCTGCTTGCGTTATCAAATATTATTATCAATAGTTCAGAACATTTATAAGCTAGGCAGAGGAGAGTAATATAACGTAGGAATCTAAAAGGCATCCGTTCTAGTGAAATACATCGGACAAATATACCAACAAATCAAGCCTATGCACCAGATCACCAAAACCAACAACTACCATAAGAGCAAAACTTTCACTGAACTTGAATAACAAATGCAAATATTCAAAAAAAAGTTAAGCCTCGCGTAAAGAAACTTATCGATAGTAAGTCAATGCCTAACGGCTCCTAACTAGGAACAATTGATGCCATGTTCTACAAAACACACATGACTTGTTAGACTTGCGGCCCAGGTGCCTTAGGGACCTTACAAAAGATATCCAAACAACCCTCAAACGCAATACATTGTTTGCATGATCTATGTCTTCACTAACACAAGGAATGTGACAGAAAACTAGTTTGGAAAGCAATGTAATAGAAGTGTGGAATGACTTTACACCTTGGAAGCCTACGTTGGAAAAGCTGATTTGTAATCTGGAAGAGAAGTTACCCCTAGCTACATTTCCTATATTGGAGTATCTAGCAATCTGCATATTAAATCATCAAGAGAAAAGCTTAAGAGTAAATTATCTGGATAGATCATTTTACTGAGAGTGTCTTTCACAAGTATTCACCATGAGACAGCTGTAACAGTTGCACAGACGAAAGTAGTTAAATGAGGAGTCACGAAGATAGTACTTGGGAGAGGAATATGACGGCAGTAAACAGGAGTGAAAGACAGTAAAAAGTTTCCTATTAAGCTGTTCCCAAATTACAAATAGATCTAACCAGGAGTTGTATGGTTTTAACACAAATACTAGCACACACTTCATCATTTTGTATAGGTTAACCAGTTTCCAGCACTAAAGAATGTATCTAAATATCTTGAACATCTCGTTGATCTCTTATTCACCAGGAAAAATAGGTCTCTGAGTTATCATTTCGGCAAATATGCATCCGACAGACCACACATCTACTGGTGTGGAGTAGTGCCAAGAGCCTAAGAGAATCTTTGGTGCTTGGTACCATAATGTTACCACTTCAACTTCGGATGAGAGTTACAATGATCAGATTCACTTGAGTTTATCAAATAACAGCTGTGAATGAAGAATACAAGAACAATCGCTCAAAACCTAACAAGATAGAAACATGATTACTTTTGAGTAGATGGAAATGGACATCATACCTCGTGAGTGAAAGTCCTCACAAGTATGCCAAATGCTCTTGCAAGGCCAAAATCAGCAAGCTTCAAGGCATTAGTCCGTAGGTCGATCAAGAGATTCTGTGGCTTCAAGCCACAATGAAGTACCTATGGGAATGACAGTAAACAATTCCCCTCAGGATTTGGTATAGGAAGGTTTGCAACAAATAAAGAAAAATTTGTCATGTGATGCTCTCAAAGTAGAATTCTTGCATGCCAATCCCTCCGAAATGGTTCGACTCCTACTGTTTCTACCGAATCATCTTAGCAAGAGAATGAAAATACAAAGCTAAGTAAATTAACAAAAATCTCACCCTACTTTAATCAAGCGTGGATCCTTAGCAAGATCGAGACATGTGTCCATATATTTCTTTAAGTCAAGGTCTAGGTACTCGAAGACTAGATACAATCTCTTTTCACTGTGCATCACATCTTAAAGCGTGAGGTCAAAGACGCATCAAATGCGTAATAAGTTAGGTGAGTTCACACTGAGGTTTAGTGCAAGTGGACGTTTCAGCCAAGAAAATCACCTACATACAATCTATCTTCAGTTGTAGCTATGTCATTTCGGCTGATATGACGTAACCCACAGATGAGGAAATCTTGATTCCATTGGGAATCTTGCAGAAAGCATGAGGATGATCAAAATTCAGCGCACTCAGTAGTGACACAAGGGGAGAGAAGTACAGTACCGAATAGAAGTACACATGGAAGGCATCAATGTAGTCGAGTCGGGTAAAGTAGCAGTGGTGAAGACTGAAAATGCATTAACTGCTCAGCGCTGAAAAGAGACTTCAGGTAAGGCACATTAATCAGACATATGCACTGAAAAAACAAGCACAACAAAGACCTCAAATTAACACATGCATTCTAACGACAAGAATCATAGGCAAAACATGACAAAATTTAGGGGTTAAGTAGAATTGAACCAATTGAAAAGAAGGAAGAGATAACTCTGCCTTCCAATCAGAAAAGATACAATAAGGGTTTAGAGAGAGGATTAATGCCACCGTATGGCAAAGATCTTGCGAGAGACACAACAGAAATACAAAATTTAGCGTGTTTGCCATTGTCACGGAATCCCTAATAAACTTAGTCACCGACCTAGATCAGGACTGCACAATGAGCCTAATTTTCAAACCAACCGCAGCTCTACTTGCAGTCCTCTCTCAAAGGAACGACATTATACATACATAGTCAGCAAAGCACAAGCTCAGAAGGAAAAACCACTCCAACAGCCCAAAATGGAACGTACCATTCAGCTCAGGAGCAGCACACGGAGAGACAAAAAATCTCGGAGCTAATTGCTAGGGAAGTTAACTAGAGAGCGATTGAAGGACCGATGAAATCCAGAATTGGAGAGAAAATTGCCCAAAAGAGTAGCAAAGTGATGACGTGAAAGCTTTTCAAGTCAACTACAAGAGATGTAAGTGAGGACGAATGAATTGAACATACTATGCTCCGAATAGCCTTGAGGACCTTTACAAGAAATAACACAGAACACGAACATGGTGAAAAGATGAATTGATGAAATAAGCATACTTTGTGGCAGATTGATGAAATTGAGCGAACCAAAGATGCCTCATTGTCAAACACTCCTTTCAATACATTGTGGCAGATTGATGAAATTGAGCGAACCAAAGATGCCGCATTGTCAAACACTCCTTTCAATACTTTGTGACAGATTGATGAAATTGAGCGAACCAAAGATGCCGCATTGTCAAACACTCCTTTCAATACTTTGTGGCAGATTGATGAAATTGAGCGAACCAAAGATGCCTCATTGTCAAACACTCAAGCCTTTTAAAAAATGAGCCTGTAAAGTTTGAACTTGATGAACTGGGGAAGTAATGCAAAGTAATGCAGATTCTTGACAAATGTAGAATTGTACCACAAATTGCATTCACAATACATCTTTGTAACTGAAACTCACAACACAAACCATCAAGCTCTAAATTAGACTTACTTCCATTGCTATGATTTCACTCTTCTCATAATCAACTCAGGGAGCTTTTGGTGATGGACATTCATATTTATTCTAATATTTATTTATATGATTAAATAGAAGTAGTAAAAATAGATTTATTTTGTAATATCTTCTAAAGAAGCTTCTTAGAAGTTTTATAGATATTGCTTTGATTTTATATGTATTTGTAATTGATTGGTAGGTTTCAAAACTTGGTCAATAAGTTAAGCATATGCCACACATGTTAGTAGCTTGCAAAACAAGCTAATTACGTGGCGCACATATAAAAAACTTGCCTTGCAAGTTAAGATACATGTTTTGCAAAGTCACTACATTTTGGAGGTCATATAGAATATTGCCACATATCTCTTAGTTAGATAGTATATATGGAGGCAAGAGTGAAACCTTCTTCACTCTTATCAATGCCTTTTTAGTTCTTAGTCTTGTTTCAAGAATTTTTAGTCTTCTTGTCTTTGATAATCTACAAAAACATGAAACAGTTAGGAATTAGCAAAAACAACTAAAAAATGTGAAATAATTGTATTATGAAAAACTACTCTATAGATTGATTATATTCTACTATATGGTAAAACTACCTAGAAAGAAATAGAGGCAAAAAGATGTTGTAATATCCAAAACTCAACAACAAGCCTTCTTGTTGCTCTTTGCTTATCATCACCTTATTCTAAGCTTTGCAAATCTCAAAAGCTAAAACAGATGTACTACTAAAGCAAGCAAAGATTGATACACAACTTTGTCTTGAAATAATTAGTTTTAAGGTAGAGTTTTTTAATACCTCCAGGTGGATAAAAGAAGCAACCTTGATTAGACATCCATCCAATTCATCCAACTAAAATATATTTTTTATTATTTTTTATTGAATTAATGTATATAAAGTAATAAATTATATACAAGTTTTATATGTACATTTATGCATTGTGTAATTAATAATAAAAATCAATTAATAAATCTATTAATAGAAATAATATAATATTTATAAAAATTAAATTATATCATTTTTTATATTGATATATATAATTAATGTATTTAAATTATTTATTATTCTCAGACTTAAAAGTACTTTATATAATATATTTGTGTTACATATGTATATATATATATATATATATATAAAAGTTTTTAGAACTTTCAAAGAATATTTTATATTATAATATATATTTCTAAAATATTCTAAAAACTTAGTAGAAGTATGTGATAGATAGCTTAGAAACTAAACTATGTTAAGTGGCACTCTAAGAAACTTTTAGAACAACTTAAGAAACAAGCCATGTAGTTGAACTTGGATCAAAAGTCTTTTTAGGAAGCTTCTTAAGGAGCTTCTTGAGATTTGACAAATAAATCTTCTATTAACTTGTGTGGCAAGATATGAAAAGCTTGATATTACAAATATAATTAAAATTAGTAATTACTTAGATAAAAATAGTTGGTTAGAAATAATTAAAAGTACATAAATTATATAATATCTTAGAAGTTTTTTTTTATGGATTTCACTTTATATGTGTCAATAGATGATTAATAGTTTAAAAACTTGGTCAACAAGTTTTCCACATGTCACACATATTTGCTACTTATGGTACAAGTTGGTCATGTGGCATATATATAAGAAACTTATTTTACAAGTTAGATATGTGTTGGAGGTCCTATAGAACATTGTTACATAGCTCCTAGTTAGATAGTATATATAGAAGCATGAATAAGACCTTCTTAACTCTTATCAACTACTTTCTTATTTCTAGTTTAGTTTCAAGTATTTGTAGCTTTTTTGCCTTTGATAACAACTATTCCAATTTCTTCTTGATTATATAATTTTTTAAATTTTCTATATTATTTTTTTATAAGATACATCTCACTTGTTTATTTATATTCTTTAAGTTTTTGTATTTAATACTTAGACTCCATGTTTTATGTCTTGTAAGTAGTATAAATAGAAACATGACTAAGAACTTCTTTAATCTTGTGAACTCAGCTCTTGGATTTGTTCTTTTTTAAACTTTTAGGCCTACTCATTTTTAATATTATTCATTGGTTATTATCTTCTTAATTATTCCATCTTTATATATACAACATAGACTTCATTGATTGAAATTATTTCTTTTTAATTGAAGTTTTAATTGTGTCTTTAATAATTTGACAAGGCTATTTTTATTTTTATTTTATTTACAAAGTTATTTTGTGTTAAGAAGTAAGTGGACTCCTCCACTTCTTGAATGTTCTTCTGTGTTAGAAAGTGAATGAATGACCTTGCTTCTTAGGTGTTGTTTTGTATCAAGAAGTGAATGAACTACTCCACTTCTTAAGTATTATTTTGAATTGAAAAGTAAGAGGACTATCCCACTTCTTATATGTTGTTTTTTATTAAGAAGTTAGTGAATTATTCCACTTCTTTAGAATATTTTGGTTAAAAATATTGTTACAAAAAGAAAAAAAACAAGATACACATGAACAAAGTAATAATAGATTTGTCTCAATTGCAGATCTTCAAAATCTTTTTAATACTTTTTAAGCTGAGATTCCACATATTAGTAATTCCAATAAGTGGAACCTTATTTCAACATTTATAGAAGAAGATAACAATGAAGTTTAAACTTAATGCCAAGAAGTTTTGCAATTGCAAGAAGCAAATATAAGTGGACAAGCATGACAATTGGATTTTAGAATTGCTTCTACAACAAGTTTGAAAAAATCAAAGATCAACATGGTAGAGAAATTTAATGATATAAGATCAAGATTTGGACATATTGATTGTGAAAAGGTAGCAAAAATCAAGCTTCAATCTTTGCAGCAAGGATCATGTTTTGTTGCCATATATAATACTCAATTTCAAAAACTTATATGTGATGTGGATTAGAATAACAAAACGCTTATTAATTAATTTTGACATGGATTGAAGGATAACATGAAGGAGTTATTATTGATAATGCCAAAAGCTAAATCTTTAGAATAATTTATTAATTGAGCAATTGCATATAACAAGCGATTATTTGAAAGAAGTCAAGAACAAAGACTTGATTAAAGAGGAGCAAATCAAACTATTGCATCTATTTTTAAAAATATAAAAAAATATTTTTCAAGATCTAAACCTATGCAAATTGGTACTACTCATTCTAAGTAAGGAACTGTATAAGAAGAAGAAGAAGAAGAAGAAGGATATATATATATATATATATATATATATATGAAAGTCTATGCTTTTATTGTAGAAAAGCATAATATAAGGTAAAAGATTGTGGAGTGAAATTGAATAGATTTAGGATTTGAAGTACAAACTCAAATGATGTAGAAGTTAAAAAACAAAGACATTTACTTGTAGAAACCTTGTAATAACACAACTCTATATTTCAACCATCAAATACAATTCTTATTATACCATTAGATCATGTATCTTGTTTTAGGTTTTTTATTTGTATTAAAATATTATAGTATGAATTTTTAGTCAAAATTCTTTTAGGCATTAGATCTTTTAGATTTAGTATGTTTAATAAAAAAAAAAAAAAAATTACAAAATGACACAATTTACTCAAAAAGTTGTTCAATACTAATAGATGTGATCAACTGTCAATTCCTTGCATTTAAAGATATTGTTGTAGAAACCAATCCATTAAAGGTGATACTAGACAACAAAGTATCAATTTTTTTTTTTTTTTAATATCATTCAATAATCTTCAAATGTATCTAATTTGAAAAATTTAATATTATTCAACGTCCTTCAAATTCAAATGTACTTAAAATTTCATTGTATTGAATAATTTAATATCATTCAATGTCCCTCAAATGTACTTAAAATTCCATTGTATTGAATAAAGTTCCAAATTTGAAGAATTTAAAAGTATGAAAACCCTGATCAGGGATTATGTGGCTCTGACAACTTTAACTGCCAAATCCAAAAAAGACTCGAAGTTGTGTTTAGTACCAAGACTCCCCACTACATATTCGATCGTTGGTGATTTTTGTGTGTGATTTTACATGAATGGGTGATGTTATCACCTTTGCCGCAATTGTGAACAGCTGTTAAGACACTTCCACTGAAGTCAGCACAAGATTCCGATTCACCACCATAAACATGGATGAATCATGCAACGACAATCTTTCGCACATTTCGTAAAGGTCTGTAAATGCGGTCTTTCATACCTCAAAACAAACACAGGCAACGCGTTGTCTCGACGAGGCAGAAAATTTTATGCCGAGACACTTCATATTGCTGGTTGATTCACTGGGAACCATTGGATCATCGTGCAACCTGCGCAGACGATGCTCCATGGACACTTAAAATAACTTTATTGTGTGTTCCAGGATGCTTTATCAGAATAGACTAAGAGGTGCACTGTTCAGTAAATCATGGAATCGTATTAATCTAACTGTTAAGCTGAAAACACCGTGTGGTTTGAAACTCAGAATTCAACCATAACATGAAGATAAAATGCTTTCTTCCCGAACTTGTGCACAACTCGAAAATAGCACATTTACATTTTTCCTAAGTCGGAGGTAGAATATTTGATCCCCACAAGAAAGACCCAGAGACCAGGCAACTGGAAAAACAGAAATAAGTTGGACTAATCAAATCATCTACTCAGCAGTGGCTTCTTCCTCTTCACTGAAGGAAGATGGGTCGTAATCGATGAATTCGTCATCATCACCGCCATCGTCATCAAAGCCTAAGCTTAGCGCTTGAATCTTGAATCCTGCCTGCACAATGGTTTCTACCAAACTTGAAGCGACACCCGTTGCTTGAATGTCGGTCTGTTTGACCAACTGCAACAACATCCAATTTGCGGTTAGCGTTCCATATTGCCACTGACTAAAATTGGTACCAACTCCTCTGTTCATTGTAGTTTGTCAGTAACTCAGATTGGAACTACAGTAGAACAATCCAAAATATTCGGTGAAAGAAGAATTTGAGTGTTTACATCGCACGTTTTTTTTCATCAGCAGTTATGCTTCAAAACCCTAGCAAAAATTAGAACTCGCAACAAGTCGACAGGATTGTGACGTGTCACACTCAGACAGATGTATGATTGTCCAGATTGATCTGTTAACTTGAACAATGGAACATGATCCGGGGACTGCTACAAATTGTAGAACACAGCACAGAAAACTTTACAACGTTTTAACACAAACTGTCGCAACGGCAATTTAGCTAATAAACCAGGATCCAATTAATCCTGTGAAGCCCGCATTACCTCAACGGTGGCAGCGCCTTCCTCAACGTAAACCTTGATTTGGCTCACACCCTCGATTCCCTACCGTAAAAAAAAAAATTCAGTCAGTGAATCAGCCTCGTAAGTCTACGTTGAGATTGCACCAAAGTCTTTCACATAAAAAAAAATCTATACCGTGTTCTTCACCAATATAACTACAGTCGAAAACGAAACGCGTCATTACCTCAAGTGCCTTGGTGACTTTCGAGATTGAGTTCTCGTTCATGGATCCCTCTGCCTGGAACACAAAAAGAAATGCGACATTATAACCTACAGAATCTCATAGTAATTCTGACATGAAACAAGTACTCAAATGGAGTAGCTAGGGTGTCACATTTCAGAACAAATAAAATAAAATCTAGATGCCAAAACTATCACGTAAAGAAGCTATGGAAAGATTCATCATTGATCGCATGAAAATGATCAATAAAAACGGCATGTCTTACTATACAATTGCGCATCTGTCGGAGACACTGCACAGAAGATATAGATTGAGGACTACACGAGAACATCTCGCGACAGTGGCTAGAGGTATAAGTTTTTCTCGGTGAATGCAGAAAAGATCATCATATACAAATCATTGTGACAAAAACCTCACAAAAGCAAACCTGCAAGGATGAACTACCTTAAAGTGCATGGACAAGCCCTCTGCTGGAGCACCAGACTCAGCCTGGATCGCAGAAGCAGGCTCCGCAACAGCTGCACTGACGACGAATTTCCGGCAGCAGCTGCTCTTGTATCCCCAGCTATCACCTCCAACCGCGCGCAACCTCGCGCCCAAGGTGTAAACAACTCCACGACTACATCCCAAGGAAGCAGAACTCAAAGCGGCCTTGCAACCTCGCATGGCCTGGTTGTCTAGAGCAACCCTGGGGCTTTGCGCCACTTTCAAGGACATCATCTGGCATGCAGCTGCTGCCATTTCTAACAAATTTCTAAATCCGCTGCTACAAATTGCTCCCGGATCCTCACAGAACTCTACAACTAACTCGAAATTCACACTCCTCTTTTAGTCCCCAACTCTAAAACAACACGAAAAAGGAAATAGCAGCAAGTTCGAGAAAAAATAACTGCAAACTTCTCGCAATACA